AGAAGCAAAAAAAGAAGAAGAAAAAAGAAGAAAAAAAAAGACGAGAAAGACTAAGAAGAAAATGGCGAAGAACTTCAAAAATAATATAGTTAATTTAAACAAATTAAATCAAATTCTTCTTCAATGCGCCGTGTCTCTCCAAGAAGTGGAAAATCATGGCCCTCCACAATATTCTATCATTTGTAGCTCTTAACATTGTTTATCATTTTACTTATACCACTAATTTACTGTTCTGCCAACCATTTACACAAACTCGTTAGGCAGGGTATCTGTTATACTCTTCTGTTTCTCTTGCCTTCAATTTGTCCGCTGAATATCAAATTTCCCAATCATTATGCTTCTTAGTAATTTCAACTGTCTCTTTTCGATTCTAAGTATACGTGGTTTCATGAAATAATATACCGTTTCTATCGAATTACCTGACATCTTTTTAGGGCAAGGATGTGCTTGGTAATCATTGGCAAGGTCAGTGGTTGGAAATTAGTGAGATTATTCGTAGGTCAACACGAATTATATCTCGATGTTATTTTATTGCCCTTGCATTAATCGACCCTCTTTTGTTACCCTAAGATACTTATCGACCCCCAGTATCTACGCTAGAGGTGTGATATCGAGATCATAAGATCTATTTTCACTAATCACTAACCACTGTTTGTTCCCTTTCAATAAAAATATTCTATAAACAAAAACTCGGATTACATAATAGATCGCCTATGAGTAATGTCGTTTCCTCGTTTTTCATAGAACTTTTAAAATCCGACCCATTTAAACAGAGAAACAGATTAAACCTAAGATTTTCACTTACCAAAGAAACATAGATGGCGTTCATTTAATATATGCTCAAAATAAAAATCAACCTGACATAATAAATAAACATAGTAATGTAGAACTCAGCATCGAATTCATGCATGAATTTGAGACAGACAAATCTATACCTTTCCTTGACATCTTATTCACATATTGTGGTTTTCTAAGTGACGCTTAGGGGTGCCACGGGGCCGAAAATATGGGGCACACTTTGAGGGTCGAATGCGCCTGGCAGTCGTAATTGATTTCATTATTTAGATATTCAGGATTTCAAGATTCAAGATTATAGCACAAAAACCATATATATATATATATATATATATATATATATATATATATATATATATATAGAGAGAGAGAGAGAGAGAGAGAAAGAGAGTCAGAGAGAGGTCATAATCCGGAGGTATATAATCCAAGTGAATTTTAATAATATGAAACATTAAGACTGATCCACAAAAACAGGTCAATATATTTATCATAACAGAGCATATAAAATACATAGATTAAAAATCCAAGACAAACCTAATTAGGAAAATAGCCATTTCGATCCACATACTTTCGGTGGATCTTATCCATCAGTGGTGAATGGCCATTTTCTGAATGACTAATAATTATTTATATATATATATATATATATATATATATATATATATATATATTTTTTATTTTTATATATATATATATATATATATTTAAAATATGTTTTTTTGCTACAGTTCAACCATGTTTCATTTTTAATTTTGTTAAATTAAAAAGCATTAGTTCCATTTCATCTTCATTATGTATATATATATATATATATATATATATATATATATATATAGATAGATAGATATATATATATATATATAGATAGATAGATATAGATAACTAGACTCGTTTCGAAAAACCCTCGAATTTTTGATTTGCTAATAATCAAATCAATCTCGAGGGAAAAAAAGGTTTTAAAAAAAGAAAGAGCTACAAACATGAACTTCTGCCGACAAAAAAATCGCACAGATACAGGTTTAAAGCCCCAAGAAAAAACCCCGATACGAGTAAACAACTAACAAAAGAGCTCAATACAACCGTAGAGCAGACCTAGATACGCCTAGTGAGCCAGACAAACCTACCTAGGTTTCACCTAAACGGATCGTCAGGGAAAGTAATGCCTTACGTAAGGATTTAAAATCCTGAACGATTGGAATACCGAAATTTTAAATCCTTAAAAATCAGAATCCCGAAAAATAATTTTTGGGATAAATTGAAAAAGAAAATTAGGAAATACTTTTATTTAAAAAGATTTTAAAAAAAAATACCGTTTAAATGGTGTTTATTCATTTAAAACATTCAAAAGTATAAGACCAAAATATATGAATAATTTATAATGAAAGATTATGAGCAAGAGCCCTAAGAGAGTTCATAAGATCTTTTTGGTTTTCAAGATCGTTCACTGTATTTTTAAGCCTTTCATCGCGATAAAACACGCGTTTTTTGTTTCTTTTTGGAACAAGTCTCTCCTCAGAGAATGCGTATATATTCGTTTTCCACGTACTGCTGTTTTGAAACTCTCCAATGATACGATAAACACCGACATGAAGAGTGCCTTCTAAATTTTCCCATCGTCTATGCCATATCCTTGTTTTACATTTTTTTTCTAATTAATTTTGATTGTTTCTAATGTATAAAGATTATTTAAACGGTATTTTGAAAATGTTTACTAATAAAGATATTTTAAATTTTTTAAATTTCTCCCTGATTTCTTTCTGATCTATCGGTATTTTATACAGGATTTCAAATTTCAGGCTTTCAAATTTCAGAATTTCAAATTTCGGAATTTCACATTTCAGGATTTCAAATTTCAGGATTTCAAATTTCGGGATTTCAAATTTCGGGATTTCAAATTTCAGGATTTCAAATTTTGGGATTTCAAATTTCGGGATTTCAAATTTTGGGATTTCAAATTTCAGGATTTCAAATTTCGGGATTTCAAATTTCAGGATTTTAAATTTCGGGATTTCAAATTTCAGGATTTCAAATTTCGGAATTTCAAATTTCGGGATTTCAAATTTCGGAATTTCAAATTTCAGGATTTCAAATTTCGGGATTTCAAATTTCAGGATTTCAAATTTCGGGATTTCAAATTTCAGGATTTCAAATTTTGGGATTTCAAATTTCGGGAAATTTCAAATTTTTTGATTTCAAATTTTGAGATTTCAAATTTCAGGATTTCAAATTTCGGGATTTCAAATTTCAGGATTTCAAATTTTGGGATTTCAAATTTCGAATTTCAAATTTCGGGATTTCAAATTTCAGGATTTCAAATTTCAGGATTTCGACATTCAGGATTATGATCGGCATCACTTACAAATATAAATATATATTTATTTATATAATATAAATATCGTGAGGGAGGGTATGTGAGAGAGTGGGAATTAAAATTGTCGAATCCAGATCAAATTTCGGCTGAGATAAATTGCGTACAATTTGCAATAACGCTCTGCATTGTTGGGAGCATTTTTCAACCAATTCAATCGGTGCCTTGTTTAACACCATTATTGTATTGATTAATTCCTTTGGTCTTTTACAGCCAGAAAATATTTTTAGATTGTATGATTCTTTTTGTTTTAAATAATAATGATTTATAAATACAAATGCAACTATTTAACCAATAGATTGGGGAGAAATGGTGGATTCAGACATTTCCCTAGAGTATTTACGCGTAAGTGAATACAACGGAAGTGATTGGAATTGAAACTCGGTTTTACGTGTTCTAATTCCGAATCGTTTTCCTTCACGCATCCAACATTACAGTACCTGTTATTCCCAAGCGGCCACCCATCTGGGTACTGACCAAGCTCGACGTTGCATAACTTCATAATCTACAAGGAATGTCATTTTCAGAATGTTACCCCGTTCTCAGTATGTTACCCCGTTCTCACGATCCTATTAAAGTCATTTGATAATTGTAGTTGCGAAGATACAATGTATAGGTCTTAGCAAATGGAACAGCCCAGCATATAATTTTTTTCTTTCTTTTTATATGCCATGTCCTTTCAGGACGTAGGCGATCATGGCTCTCCACCTCCCTCTATCCCTTGCAGCTCTCAACAAGTTCCTTCTCTCTGCTTCCTCCCCCAGACCACGTTCTGTCATCCACTTGCTTAAGCCCGTATGTCATGCGTTTTTTTCTCTTGTCTCTATTCCCCTCTATTCGACCCGTGAGTATCAGATTCTCCAGGCCTTCCTCATTATGTTGGGGATACCAAAATTAAACAATTACAGAAATTTAAATATCAGACATTTTAAGAGAGGACGGATAGTCTGTCAATGATATTTAATGGCGAAATATGCTTTCCAAAAGATAAGCTATGTTTTAAGAAACAAAGTATTTCGTTAGAAACAAAGAAATGAGTACTGAACTGTTACTGCTACTTAATATACGGCAATGAATGCTGGACAATAACTTCACAGGTGAAAAGGTGACTTGAAGCAACAGAAACATATTTTTACAGAAGGATGTTGTGAATAGCATGGACCGAACATGTGAGCAAAGACGAAGTTTTAGAGAAAATGGAAAGAAAAGGGACACTTTACTTGACATCAGAACGAAAGAGTTGAAATTTTTAGGGTCCATAATGAAGAAAAATGACTTGGAAAAATTAATACAGGACAGATTGAAGACAAGAGAGACAGTAAAACAAAGCATAACCAATATAGCGAGTTTCAGCAAATGGATGGCACAACAGAGTTAAGGGGAGATAACAAATAAGAACATGAAGCTGTGGGGATATATGATCGCCAAGGTCTTCTATGAATGTCTCTCAATATCCTTTTGACTGTATTTTTTTTCATGCCAGCCTCTTAAATTATACTTCTCTTTCAATATATATTTTAATCTCATCAAATCTATCATTTCATCTTTTCGTCTTCTTTTTCTCTTGCATATTGTTATTCTTTTTACAGTGGCTTTCAGCAGCTCTTTTTTTCTTGAGGATTTCACTCCAAGCAAAGCGATAAAAACTCACTCGGATGCCAGATTTTCTGAGAATAAGAGAAACAGAGAGAACAATAAAAGAACAGATTCTTGCCAAAGTTTCAATTCTGATATCAAATTTTCCAAACGTTGAATAGTTTTGCAACAGTTCTCTCCCTTAGTTAATATATTTTAGTCGCAGCTATTCTTATTCTTTTATTTCAATAGTTTATTTAAGTTTCTTTTATCTCTCTCTCTCTCTCTCTCTCTCTCTCTTTGGCTTCTTTGCCAGGACTTTCCTTTTTATCTTTTCTAAAATTTCGACAGTATTCTTCAGCCTTCTTCCTTTCTACAAACTATCGCTCTCCTTTTCGACTTTTCAAAACGCTACACTTTCTTTCCCTAATTTCTAAGATCATGCTTTCTCCCGCAGCAAACTTAAACTGTAACCATCTCTCCTCATCCTTTCCTGATAACGATCTTTTTCTTTTCTGTCTTTCTACCTCTCCTCTTCCTATCCCCATAACAATTTCTCCATTTGCTTTATGGCAATCCTCTCTATTTTTCATCTTCTTCCCTCTCCTCTCCTGTTCCTTCTACTCTCATCAATCTTGCACCCTTCTCTATCCAATCAACAGCTCCTTTACACACTTTCTTTCGCCTCCCTATCCACTCTCCTCTTCCTTCAACCATCGACAATGCTGCACCCATCTCTATGCTAATCTTCTCCAATCCAATTACCTGTACACTCTTTCTTTCGCCTCTCTCTTCCCTCTCCTCTTCCTTCCACCATCACGAATGCTGCACCCTCATCTATGCTAATCTTCTCCAATCAACAGCACCTTTACACTCTTTCTTTCGCCTCTCTCTTCCCTCTCCTCTTCCTTCCACCATCACGAATGCTGCACCCTCATCTATGCTAATCTTCTCCAATCAACAGCACCTTTACACTCTTTCTTTCGCCTCTCTCTTCCCTCTCCTCTTCCTTCCACCATCACGAATGCTGCACCCTCATCTATGCTAA